TCTGGGTGTGGCAGGACGCCGGGTTCCCCCTGCGTGCGTCTGGGTGTGGCAGGACGCCGGGTTCCCCCTGCGTGCGTCTGGCTGTGGCAGGACGCCCGGGTTCCCCCGCGGGCCGGCGTGGCAGGACGCCCGGGGGCCCATGCCCAGGCCCCCGGGAGCCCCCTGACCCTGCGCCCCCCCAGGAGTACAAGCGGAAGCAGCTGGAGGAGCAGCGGCAGTCGGAGCGGCTCCAGCGCCAGCTGCAGCAGGAACACGCCTACCTGAAGTCCCTGCAGCAGCAGCAGCAGCTCCAGAAGCAGCAGCAGGGGGCGCCGGCGAGCGACAAGAAACCGCTCTACCACTACAACCGGAGCAGCGCCCACGCCGCTGACAAGCCTGCCTGGGCCCGGGAGGTGCGTGGGGCAGGCGTGGGGCGCGGGCTGGGTACGTGGGGCGGGCGCAGGGCGCGGGCTGGGTACCGGGGGGTTCTCCACCTCTAAGGCAAACCAAGCCCGCCAGACGGAGAGCACTTTGGTCTCACCTCACTGGCGAACCACACGTCACACCAGCAATTCCCTCAGACACTCCAGTTTCCCAGTATCACCACCAGCGCCACTCGTTATGGGGACGAATGGTTATGAAAACTGATACCCCAGTAAAAGGAAAAGGTTCTCCCGATCCCACAGGACCAAGCCCCAGACCCAGGTCAATAGACAAGTCAGATCTTCCCCACAAGCCAATCCTTAGAATCTACAATCGAAAGGTTTATTCATAAGGAAGAAGATCCAGACGAGAGCTCGACTTGGTTACATGGAATCAGTCACACACCGTAACGGCAAAGCTCTCGCTTCAGGCTTGTAGCCGGGATGGGATAAGCTGCAGGTTCAAATCCCGTCTCTGGAACATCCCCGGCTGGGCTGGGTCCTTCGGCCCTTTGTTCCGAGCGTGGGTTTGTAGCCAGGTCCCTGCAGAGCTCAGAAGCAGGATGGGATTCCAGGCTCTTTCTCTCCTCTGCCCGAGGAAGGACCCCTCCGCTCTTATTGTGGCAAATCCAACAGCAAGATGGAGTCTGGAGTCACACGGGCAAGTCACATGTCCAGGGCGACGCCGTTGTTTCCCTGTTAGTGTGAACGTTCCCAGGTTGGCGTCTCCCAAAGCCCATTGTCCATGAAGTGTCTCTTGACGGGGCACTTCTGAGAACAGCCCCAATGCTTCACTGCGGGTACTTAGAGTCACACACCTTGAGATACGAGCGCAGAGCCAACATTCCTACCGTCAACTACAAAACCAATACACACCCCCCAGCACACCACAACCTCTCCACAAACACCTCGCACAACAACCTTTGTACAGCACCTGCTGCAAATATACAACAGTGATTGCAACAATGCTCTAGACGGTCACAGGTTATGTCAATAACATCACATGGGGGCTGGTGGGTTAGAGGCAGGGGGGG